TGATCTGATTTCTAAACTTTATTTTAAATTGTTATTTTCTTAGTATATATTGATTCTTTGTATATTTCTTATCACTTTCTAAACCACTGTGAAGTTCGATGTACTGAAGAAAAATCATGTCTGTAAGTGACCCTCCCACCCTGAATATACAAACATACACATCCTGAACCTGAGGCTGAACTGTTAGGGATCATATATTTTAGACTTCAAAGACCCTTTGAACACCTTTTCTAGAAATGCATTTACTACTACCTATTTTTTACCTTTTTGTGTATATTTGGATTAATCAAATATTGTCTTAGAATGAGTAACATCTAAAATATATTCCAAAAACTTATATTCCAAAGGCTTGTTGTGAATGTTTACTCCTATTCCCCCGCCTTGTGATAACCTCACCTGTGGGATTTGCTCTTTCACCGTCAACGTTCCTGTCGTGATTTGGTTGGGGAAATCATTCAAAGGCAGCCTTCTGCTAGAAGAGCCATGTTAGCCAGGGTGGTTCCTGTCAACCTGGGGAGGGAGCCTACCTTTTGGGATTTCTCTCCATCCTCTATGGCTCTCGGTATTGTTCCTCCTCAAACACCCACAACACAGATCAACTCATCGGCCTTCTCACAAGCACAGTTCAGAGACATGTCTTTCCCAAGCTCTCAGGAAAGAGCTGTACTATGTCTTGGCACCTGATCCCTAGCAACAAGAGACTCCTTCATATTTTATCAGCAATTAATTGCAATCACTTCTGCTTTATGAGCTGACAAAGGCCTTCATCTTCATGTTTCAGTCATTGTTTCCTGATTTTTTATGGGGCTCAGGGATCACTTCCCTGCCATGGTTCACAAAGGTGCTAGCTTAGATACATTTTCCACCTTGCAACTGGGTGAGGCAGTGACTGAATCACGTGAGTCCAATTTTCACATTTAATAGGACATGAATTACTGTTGAACAATGTATCCTGCCTCTAGCCTACTATGGGCAACTAAGAACATGCTTTGCCTGCATAATGACATCTGAGTAATGGAAAGAAAGGATGATATTTCAAAAGCATTGGCATCTAGCGGAAAATTTTGAAAGCATCAGGCCTTGGCCTGTTGTCATTTTCATTCTACCTCATTGAGGGCCCATGATACACTAGCTGCAGGGTGATGATGATGTGTAAAGTACAAGATGGGGTACAGGGTGATGAGTGGTGGCCTCATTCTCTTTAGCTGAGGATGGCCCATTTGTTTTATCTGTCAGGACACAATGATTTGGCGACCCTCAAAGTACAAATAAAAATATTGAAAGATCAGATGAAACAGGTTTGGATCATTGAGTCACTTCAAATAACTGTCCTAAGAAAACAGAAATGTCAATGAGTTTGAGAAACTAATTTGTTGTTTTGACAAGAGGTAGAAGCAATGATCCTAGAGTCTCAGTGTCCTCAGAGTCTAGTTGAGTATTTCATATATTGTTCTCCAGCTCTTACTCATTTTATATATACTCACCTGGTCTCCAAACAGACTCTATTTCCCAAAGATAAACAACAGTCTTTATATTTTGGTTTTCTCTAATAGAGGGTGGAACCCAGTTCCTAGCACATAATAGAAACTTAATTGATTTGCTTTGCTTTTGCTATTGCTATGGCTATATTATTATTTATATTATTATATATTACACGTATTTATTATATATAATGTATATAATTATTATATATAAATTATTATTATTGCCTTGCAATTAATAATAATAGCTATAGTTAGGGAGCTATATGATCTATATGAGCTATATGATCTATATAACTATATGATCCAGTTATTAGTCTGGGTGCTTTACATATTTGCCCATTTTATTCTCACCATAAACTCTGAGATGGTTGTATCACATCTCTTCTGAGACTCTGGGAGAAATGTTAAAACTTGCAAAGGCAGAATCTGAACCCTTGTGTTTTGTGTTCTTTTCACTATACCTTGTGCATTGCGGCATCGTAGATAAGCCTTGTTCTGGGTCTGAGATGTTTCTCCTTAAGTTAAAGCAGAGCCTGACCATCCGGATCTAGCTTCAGGCTCCTCTCAACTCAGTAGATAGAAGATATTATCTTGAGACACATGTCAAGGTAGGCTTAGAGTGAGCACAAAGGGTGTGCGCTCTGTTGTGATACTCTTAAATTATTTCTGGGTTTTAGATAATTCCTCCTGAGGTTAGATTTAGTCTGAACCAATATATTGACCTTTGGAATAAATTGTCCTTATCGTAGATCTGCCTTTGTTCTTCCATGATCTTTACCATCTACACACTTGAAACGGCCAAAAAAGTCACGTTGTGTCTATCTTCCAGAGCCTATGATAAAACCCAACAGCAGATTAAAACCCTGCTCTACTTGCCTTTCTCAAAAACAGCCCAGGTAGAAGTAGAGGGAAAGAAACAATGGGAAAGAGACCCAGGAGAAGAGAATCAGTTTACCCTGTAAATTTAATCTAATGGTGGGAATCACTGTGTGACCATATTTTACTGCTGGAAAATTCTTGTGCTATACTAATTTTGTTAGAATTGCCTGAAGTCTAATGTTTCGAACATAACATCCCTGGAAGCTTCTGTTAACCAATTGGAGTTGGCATATAGGATAAAAACTATCCGTGATCTCTGATTTAGAGGGTTGCCTTTTAATAACATGTTTTTATTTTTTATTTGCAAAACAAAACACCAGGGCAATGTGTGCTTCCATTTTGGTAGAGGCCACAGGGCTTCCCTTAAGGCAGAGCCTCAGCTGTTGGGCTGGTCTCTTACCAAACCCAACTGGCAGGAGTAGAAAGCTTCCTGTCTAGTTGATTCTTCTTTCAAGCAGTGAGTGACGTAGTAGATGAAAAGAGGAGAAGTAGAATTAGCTCTGTACTGTTGTTACTTGGAATAAAAGCACATAGGTTTTTACTGGATTTAGATGGTCATTTGTCTTACTTGGGTAAATTGAAAATTCTATATGCCATCTTAAAACCCTACAGCGTGTTTCCTGAATTTTTCCGTAAGTGAAACTAAAGGGAACTCAAAAATCTTCAAAGGTAGTCTAGATATGCAAGAGAAACATGTTTTTGGAGGAAACCATACAACTTAGGTGATCTGGAATATTCCAAGATATTTGTGGTTGGTTCATTGCAGAAAAGTCTCAAATTTTCTATCACTCTCTGTATTCATGCCATTGACCATGTGACCTTGTAGCTTATTCCATCAGGAGATGGAATCGGCTTTCCCCTCCCCCTGCCCCTTCAATGTAGGCTGGCCTTGTGACTCTATTTGGCCAATAGAATGGAGTGGAAGGGATGGTGTGTTCAATCTGAGCCTAGGCCTCAGAGGCCTTATGGCTTCTGCTTACTCTCTTCTACCACTGCCATGTGAACATGCATGGAATATCATTTTGTAGAATATGGAACAGAAATGAACCACCCCAGCTGAGGGCATCCTATACCAGCCAGTCCCTAGCTAATCCAGTAGTTACCTTCACACACATGAGTGAATCCAGCTGGAATCAGTTAAGCCTGGCATGGCTCAGCAGAACCACTTAGGAGAGAAGAAAAAAAGAGACTTCAGACATTTAAAAAGTCACTCCTGAATTCTAGTCAACTAAATGACACTGTCTCTGGTTTATATATTTTTTCTTTAACAAAACTTGTCAAAATATAGATAGTACTGTTAGGAAAATTAAGCATCTTGGGTCTGTGTTACCTTGTGAAAACCACCAACTCTTTCTGGGCCTCAGTTTCCCATCTCTCAATTGGGAAAGTTGGACTCTCCAATATGATTCCTAGCTCCAACCATTTATGACTCTTCTGACAGCAGTGTAGTGAAAGCAGAAACATAAGCTCCAAAGTCCAACTGCTCACTTGGAAATGTGGCCCTGATGCTTTCTATCTATATACCCTTAGACAAATTAGTTATGCCCTCTGTGCCTCAGTTTCCTTATCTAAAAATGAGGCTGCTTCATGGCAAGGTTCTGAGGATTACATGATATAATCCATGTAAATGGCTTAGAACAGTGCCTGGCACACAGAAACTGCTTAACAAGTGTTAGCTATTATTTCCTTTGGCATAGAGTCACATCTTATGCAACAGCACTTTCATGGGATTTAAATGTTGAAAGTTCAAATGGTGAACATCAACCAAGTGGATAAAACTGCAAGATGTTTTTGAAATTCACATACACACACAAGAGTATTAACCGTCCTCAAGCTCTTATATCCATAATTCTAAAGGGCTTTTTTCCTCACCTAGTTGGGTGTGGTTATCTCATAGAGTTGAAATTTACCACTTTAGCTCTGCGATTATTTTTCTCCCTCTTTTGCTGCTACTCTTTGGCTACAAGCAAGAGGAAGTTTAATGCAGTATTAAGAAAATGGGTCCTAACTATGGCTCTGCCACTTACTAACTTAATTAATTTTTTAGTTACTCTGTTCCTCCATTTTCTCATATGTAATATATGGGTAATAATCAAGGCTGCCTTATAGATTATTGTGTAAACACGATACATTTAGAAAAGTGACTGGTACACAGTAGATTCTTAATAAAACACTATGGATTGGTATATTATTATATTCTGCTCCACTGGAATTGTTTAAAGGAAGTGTTAGGCACCCAAATACTGCCCAAAGGAATATCTTTTGAGATGAAGTAAGATAGTAAGCATGGGAATGCGATTGTTGACCCACTCAGATCCCCTTGACCAGACTGGTGTTTCCATATCCACGTGCTGTTAGCATTGGCTCTTAATGGTTTACAGCTGCCCCTTTCTTTGGAGAATTGCTCTTGGCCAGATGGGAGTTGCCTAGCCTGGAATTGCCTGGGAAGTTATGCAACTCCTCTGCCCCTGGGAGTGGCCAGCAGCCAATGACTGACAGACGCAGGGGCACTAAAGGACCCTTTGCCTCAAAGAAGGGGAGGCAACTCTGTGGTGCAATCCATGCTCCAGTGCTCCCTGTGGGATCAGATTGAGATTAGGCTCCAGCTGAGACCACACCCTTAGTTTGCTTCTCTTTTTTTTTCCTTTCTCGTTTATCAGTAAATTACTTCCAAGTGAATCCTCACTTTGGGCTCTGCTTCTAGACCCTGACTGAAGAAAGAAAGGAAGGAGAAATGAACAATGAACAATTCCAGAGATTTTGAGACATGGCAATTGGACTTTCTGTCAGGGTAAACATCACCGGTAGGTATAGTTTTGATTCCATTCAAGTTTTTGTTTGGGGAAAAGGCTGGAGGGGTTCAGTAGGAGTTGAGATGACAACAAGGCCTTAGACAATGTTGTATATGAGTCAGCCATAGTGAGCTCTGTGCTACTGAGGTCTGTGCGTCAAATAGGCATGTGTTATCTTAGTTTGAGCATGTGGTAAAATACAAATCCCACATGTAGGTTTTGATGAGCTATGTGATCGTTACAAAACTTAGTACCCACTAGACTTAGAGTCTTCCAGCACCCGAGACACCCAAGACACTCTCCATACTAAATTCCATTCCATAGTCAAATCTTTTGACTATGTGGAAATCCACATTTGTGTTATCACAACTGCCTTCCTTCCACATTCATCAAAGAAGACTGTCCCCAGGACTTTGGGGATGAATTAGGATGATAGCTATGAAATTTTATGCTTACAAAGCACTGGCCAGGCTGGAGCACGGAGCAGGTCATCCATGGCAGGGTTCCTGTAATTTTGTTCCAGGAAGAGATGAAGATAAAATTATCTGATAGTGCCATAAAAAGAATAAAATCATGTTTCTCAGTAACGTGGATGGAGCTGGAGGCCATTATCTGAAGTGAAATGATTCAGAAATAGAAATTGGAAAACCACATGTTCTCACTTATAAGTGGAAGCTAAGAAATGGGTACACATTGCTGTGCAGAGTGGAATAATAGACACTGGAGACTCCAAAAGGCAGGAGGGTGAGAGCGTGAGGCATGAAATACCACCTATTGGGTACAATGCACACTATTCAGGTGATGGGTACATGAAAAGTCCAGATTTCACCGCTGTGCAATATATCCAAGTAATACTACTGCACTTTCACTCCCTTAATTTATAAACATTTAAAAAATTAAAGAAAAATTACGTGGAGGTGTAGGCTTGGGCTTGTAAGTACAGAAGAACCAGCCACCCACTTAAATTCAAAGTCCCATTCCATCCTGATGTTTCCATGGAGGAGTGCAATACAGAATCTTCCCAGAGTATTCTTTCTACTAAAAAGGGGGGCAGGGAGCAAGGGATCAGCTCTCATCCTTCTTTCATTCTCTCCCACTCTCTCTTTTCTTTTACTTCAATCTATATGTGACATCTTATAAGCATTAAATAGTATGCTCAATTTAACATACTAATTAACACTTACTAAAATGAGTTAAATAGTATGCTCAATTTAACATACTAATTAACACTTACTAAAATGAGTTATTTCTATCTGTTAACAGATCTTATGAAATTTGTCCTTTGCTTCTCAAAACCATGCAAGATTATCTATAGAATAGAACTGGGTGCAGTTTTCTTGAGCATCAACTAAAAATGATGTTATGTAATTTGTAATACTAGTTTTATATTTAAAAGGGCACAATAGGCCGGGCGCGGTGGCTCAAGCCTGTAATCCTAGCACTTTGGGAGGCCGAGGCGGGAGGATCACGAGGTCAGGAGATCGAGACCATCCTGGCTAACACGGTGAAACCCCGTCTCTACTAAAAATACAAGAAAATTAGCCGGGCGAGGTGGCAGGCGCCTGTAGTCCCAGCTACTTGGGAGGCTGAGGCAGGAGAATGGCGTGAACCCGGGGGGGCGGAGCTTGCAGTGAGCCGAGATCGTGCCACTGCACTCCAGCCTGGGGCACAGAGCAAGACTCCGTCTCAAAAAAAATAAATAAATAAATAAATAAATAAAAGGGCACAATAATGTAGAGGAGTAAATAAATAGTACATGAACTTTAAAGATAAACACGAGATTTCAGAGAAAAAATTGCAATTATGATGGACTGTTATGAGTTCACCCCTCAAATCTCTGGTTTAGTATAATGTTCTCTTATGCTAAAAGGAGAATTTTGGTGGAAGTGTCTGAGAAACACTTCTACGTATGATGTCCACCAGTTCAGAAGATAACATAAGCAAGGCTTCAAAATAAATGTACAACAGGAGGGAAGAAAAGATGGGAAAACTTCTAGTGCCATTTTCATTCTGAGACTGAAAATGCCAATAGTATTCCAAGTTTAGGTGACTACTGCGTAATCGGCTAAAATATAGCTCACCATATTCTTTGGAACAGTGAAGAAGTCACCTCAGGGAGACATAGATTTGCTACATCTCATGTGGGGACAGATCTGGTACATGGCCACTCAAAGCTTGCTTCTAAGAAGTGATTGAGTGGATGCCCAGGAAATAAATGGTGGCCTTTAAGATTCGTTGTCCAGGAAATAAGAGAGTTATGTTGTTTCATGAGTAAATTGGAGGCTGTTTAGTCCCGGGGACTTTTCAGGCTTAAGATGGCCTGGGAGAAACCTTCCTTCTCATGATTCTAAATGACTATTAATGTTGCAGCCACTCTACAACTGTCAGTGTGTAAACACGATTCGGACTCAGGAATTATCGCAACTCGGTGAGTGAGACTGTATCTTCTCATGTCAGAAAACCATGGCACTTTTGTCCAGCAGAAGTGGCAGCCGTCGGGGCTGAACAGTGGGTTGCAGAGATGGTGCTCCTTCAGAAAACGCAGGTAGAGAAGTCCTGCTTTTTTCTGGGCAGAGCGACTTTTATTCTGACATCTCAGCTTCCCAGGAGAGGGCCATGCAGCAAACTCAGGAAGGTAGTTTGGAGTTGGTTTTGAACCATATTATGAGCAGCCTTTTCATAAGGTGGCAAGATACAATGCATAGAAGAGAGTTTGGAAATGAGAGACCATCTCATGGTAAAATCTAGAAGATGGTATGAGAATATCAGGTCCAAGGAGAGACCTTGGAAAGATTAGGAAACCAGGCCCCACCGCTTGATATGCAATTCATTGTGTCTTCTCAGCTCATGGCTCTGCTCTTGGAGATACTGTGTTTAAGTTTTTATGTACTTTTTTTTTTTTCCTTTTTAAAATAAAACCTTGGGCAGGCAGAGCCTACTCTTGCAGGGCCTGAGGCAAAATGGAGTGGGGTGCACACTGGTTCTTTTGATCATGATTTCACTTCAAGCAGTGGGGATAGATTTCATGTTTCCTTCCTGCCCTTTCCCACGAAGCATGCAATTGAGTGGGTGGCTCAGTCAGAAATACCCAATAAATACTTGCCAATGAACATAATGGAGCAACACTGATGACAGCAAGGAGTTTGTACCATCCCTACTGTCTCTTGGAGGTGGCACCAATGTGGTCCTGACACTGGGCCTATGGGAGACTTTGTGGCACTGTGTGAGCCTGGAGGCCTGGCCATGATCCATCTTACATCATTCTGCCTACCTGAGTTCCCTATGCAGTTGCTGCCTTCCAGTTCTCCTCATTTCCCAGAAAAGGAATCACTCTCCTAACCAGTGTGCAGACAGAGGAGGGAATTAAGGAGACAAGTGAAAACCACCCAGCAAGAGTACTTGAATAGTGTGCAGGGGAGGGTGGTGAAAAGGAGGAAAGGAAAAATGTATCAAAACAATATTATGTCAGTTCTATAACTTTCCACTAATCCATATGTGGATTTGTACCAGTGTTCATGTCTTACAGTCTAACACAAGAGCCAGACAAAAATGCTTGGACTTAATAAATCTAGGAGAGAGGTTTGTTTATCAAGGTCTAGCATTGTTTGAAAACTCAACATCTGTTGAAGACTTGTAGGCCTTTGCCCCCCACACTTTGTGCAGGTGCTTCTGGTCTTATGACACCAATGCATGTATTTTAAAGAAACATTCAGTAAAAAAAGCTCAAGGTCATCTCTATACATTGCCATGGGCTCTGCTCCTAACCAGGCCTCCTCATCTCTCATTTGGACAGTTGTAGCATTTCCAAATGGGTCTCCTTACCTCCCATCATATCCACACAACCCCTCCTCACAGCAAGTTAGTCTTTCCAAAGCCCAGAATGTGAAAACTTTCTAATACACCTCTAACTTATTAATAGGGATCTTCACATTCTGAAATTTTTGTTAAGAAACAAAACTTGGCTACCATTCTTCCTTAGGTGGTCTTTTCTTACGTTTTTAAATGTAAATATTTTATACAAGTATAACGTAAGTGTAAAAAAATGTGTGTGTTGATGAATTCTTATACAATTTGCATGTGCATGAAACCAGCAGCCAGATCATGAAACAGAATACAACCAGCACCCCAAAAGCCCCTTGATGTCCCTCCTAGTCAGTATCCCCCCAGGGGTAATCCTTGTCTTGACCTCTAACCCCATGGATGAGTTTTATCCTTTTGGAACTTTAAATAGATGGAACCATGCAGTAGGTATTCTACTGTGTCAGTCAGCATGATGTTTGTTTCATCCATATCGTGCCTGTACTTAGAGCTGATTCATGCTCATTGCTGTATAATGTTCCATTGAAGGGATATTTATTTACCCATTTTACTGTTGTTGTTGTGTTTTTCTTTTTACACAGGGCCTTGCTCTGTTGCTCAGGTTGGAGTATAGTGGCATGATCAGGGCTCACTGCAGCCTCAACCTCCCGGGTTTAAGCATTCCCCTCACCTCAGCCCCCTGAGTAGCTGGGAATACAGGCATGCAACACCCTATCCAGCTAATTTTTAAATATTTTGTAGATATGGTGTCTTACTATGTTTCCAAGGCTGGTCTCAAACTCCAGGGCTCAAATGATCCTCCTGCCTTGGCTTCCCAAAGAGTTAGGATTACAGGCATGAGCCATGAGCCACTGCATCTGGCCCCATTCTACTCTTGATGGACATTTGGGTTGCATCCAGCTTTTAGGAATGATAAATAGTGTGGTTATGAAAAATTTTCCTAAACAAGGCCCCAAAAGTGCTAAGTACAAAGGAAAATGTTGATAAATTGGCTATGTTAAATTAAAATCCTTCCCCTTTCAAAAGACATCGTTGAGAGAGAAAAGCCAACACATAGAAGATAATTGCAGTATATATTATCTGGAGAAAGGATTCATTTCTTGAATATAGAGAGAGCTCTGTTAATCAATAAGAAAAGTGCAAATGGCTCAATAGTGAAATAGTCAGAGACTTGAATAGGTACTTTACAAAAT